GATTAGAATCCTACTATGACGCCACTGCCCATGAAGTCCAAACCACTTCCTATGGGGTGAAAGGTCTAGTGGAGACTGTCCGAGGGTTACCACTAGGAGTATTTCCTGTTACAATGAACTGTGTGCAGCTCTGCAGACACTCCCAGCACCTCTTCGACTGTGCTCCTGCTCCACCAGTGATGTTCTCTCTGGGGGTCAGTTTATCCTGCAGGGAAGGTGAATTCCCTGGGGGAAACTTGGGCTCCCTTCTGCTGCTCTTGTGCAGTCCATGGGACTTTCCTCATTTTCTCTGTTCCCCATGCTTCTCTAACATCTCAGTACACTTCCTTCATTCCATTGCCAAAATGCAAGCCCCTTGAGGGTGGGAACCATGCTTGACTCGTTTTTGTATGCCCAATGCTTAGCACAGAGTTGAACACATTACTGCCAGTTCTTTTTTTCAATGACAATTCCATAAACATCATTAGGCATTAGGTGTTCAGCTCTGCATATAAGGTCTTCATTAGCAAGTAAACCATTTCCTACTTCAAAATATTTTCATGTTCAAGATATCTGCATATCCACAATCTTGTTTCAATTATTGCCGGAGAGCCAATTGATAAGCTTTCGATGAGCTTATCACACCCCTCCAAAAATCCAAAAAAAATATATATTTTTCTACAAATGGAAATTTTAGAAATGAGATTTGAGAGATTTGACTAAGAAGAACCTTCAGTGAAATGTGACATAACTCACCTCATGCTGTAATCTGTATTCCCTCAGGATTTAAGAGCTTTCTCGCATAAAATCTTTGCTACACATTTGTATACATGTTATTGGTGCTCCGAAAAATAGTCAATGGAATGGTGCACTACGACTGGGCCTTATCATCTTATTTTGAACCTCGTGCATATTATAGTAAAGCAAAGCATTCAGTGTGTTCCAGGAAATATTAGATCTGTGTTTCTATCAGCTCACTGGGATAATCTGATAATTGTTACTTTTACTTGGTATGGCTGCAGGAATAGCGGAAAGCGGAGGACTTGAGAGTTAGCGGAACCCAGCTTTGGTATCTGGCTTAGTCATTTTTCAGCTGTTATCCTGGGTGAGTTCTACCAACTCTCTTAGCTCCATTTCCCTCATTAATAAGGTGGGACATAACAGCTACTCTTGCATTGACAATTAAGTTAGATTACCTGTCTAGCACATATCCGTCATCATACACTTACTATGGTCACATTTTGTATTTCAAATAAACTATTTAATCTGAGAAATATTTCTTGGGTTTTTTACACAGTAGGATTATGATTCTCACAGGGTATATAAATTGCTGATCAGAATTATTTATATGTGGCCAATTCTTAATGTCATTGGGAATGCTGTTTAATTTCAATCCTCAAAGTTACTGTAGCACAAAAAATATCACAATTTCCTGCAGGGATATTATCAGTAAGTCCTGCAGGGAACAAACAATTGACATTAAATTCGGTACTCTGCAATTGTCACTGTTATTGTCTGCTAGAAACTCTGCATAATGCATTTTAAACCACCAACGCTGGCTGCCACATCCATGTGAAATGCTTGAATTTTATGGTGCTTCAATATTTAATGATTCGTTGGAAAAATGTGAAATGTGTCTAATAAATTGCATCCCTTTCTCTAACCTCTGGTTGTAAAGTTAAAGACTTTCAGCTTGTAACTTTTGCAAGATGCCTGATCTGCCATTGGCACTTACGTCTTTGTTGTATTACGATTTATAATATGGTTCATTATATAAAAAACTCTGTGATAACTTCCAAAAACAACTGTGTTTTATCTGGTGCATTTATTTTCTTTCAAGCTAATGAGGGTTTACATTTTTTTAAAACTACACTGTGTGGCTCACCCTTGTGGAAGTGTGAACTGCAGAAGAGAAGAGAGTAGGCTGGAAAGCATGGCATACGGAGGCTCCTGGAAACACGGTTCTATGCACAGTGATGGGGCACAGAAGAGAAAGGAAAGCATGCCTCAGGTGGAAGGTCTATATCAACCCCAGGGGAGCTGCTTGGTCAGTGGCCAGGGGGCATGGGGCTCAGACCCTCTTGGCCTCAGCCTTCTCATTAGTTCAGTGAGAATAAGATCACCTGTTTCACAGCACTGTTTGGAGGATTCAAGGTGTGAAAGTCAACTACAAAGAGATCTGTGAAACCAGATACTGTTACTTTTAACCATGGTGACTTGAAGTCAGGAGTTAGGTATTGATTACATATCTCATGGCCCCTGTGTCATTTGCCAAACATTGGGATAGGTGGAGTGTAGATACTCAATAACAGTTTTGTGGCTTTTTTTTTTTTTTTTTTTTTTTAAGAGACAGGGTCTTGCTCTGTCACCCAGGCTGCAGTGCAGTGGCACAGTCATGGCTCACTGGAGCCTTGTCCTCGCAGGCTCGAGTGATCCTCCTGCCTCAGCCTCCCCAGCTGGGCTACAAGCATGTGCTACCATGCCTGGTTGATTTTTAATTTTTGTAGAAGCAGGGTCCTCCTCTGTTGCCCAGGCTGGTCTTAAATTCTTGGCTTCAAGTCATCCTCCTGCCTCAGCCTTCCAAAGCATTGGGATTACAGGCATGAGCCACTGCACCCAGCCTTGGACTAACTCTTTATTTATTTATTTATTTATTTTTTGGACTTACTCTTTAGTAGGAAGGAACTTCATTGGTATTTGGGCCAACCTTATACCTGATAGAGAAATAAGGATACTCAATTAACATTGCCTGACCATCTACTATGCGACAGGACCAGTACTGGCTCTGCTATATATGCTTCCTCTCAACTCTACAGCTGTGCTGTTCTGCAGACAAGGAAACTGAGCTTGAGAGAGAATAAGTAACTTCTTTAAGGTCACAGAGTCACCATGTAGTAGAACCCAAACCCTTATCCATCTATTGTTAAAGATAATGCTTTTATCCTTTACAGTATTACCTCCCGGGGCGTTCCCCATTTGTGAATTGGTTAGAAAACAGAGGGTCTTGCATAGAGGTGACCTGGATTACTGCTGTCACTGCAAAGCCCCTTGTTTTACAGGTTCTAAGGTAGCCCATCCAGCTCAGCTGGGAGACTGTCTCAAGCTGTTCTGGAGGAAGGGGTGAGGAACCAATGAGGACAGAGCTATTTTTGGGGAGCCCAGAGGTCTATATCTCAGGGCCAACTGAAAACCAGCCATGCCTCTTGTATTAGTCCATTTTCATGCTGCTGATGAAGACGTACCTGAAACTGGGCAATTTACAAAAGAAAGAGGTTTCTTGGACTTACAATTCCACGTGCCTGGGGAGGCCTCACAATCACGGTGGAAGGTGAAAGATCGTCTCCCATGGTGGCTGACAAGAGAAGAAAGCTTGTGCTGGGCAACTCCCCTTTTCAAAACCACCAGATCTCATGAGACTTACTATCACGAGAACAGTATGGGAAAGATCTTCCCCGTGATTCCATTACCTCCCACTGGGTCCCTTCCATGACACGTGTGAATTCAATATGAGATTTGGGTGGGGACACAGCCAAACCCTATCACCTCTGGAGCCCCTAAAAACCCAAGGCAAGTCATTTAGGGCAACTGCTCTGAGCTGGAGAAGGGAGGAGCTGAAGCTGCTTACTTGATGGCTCAGTCACTGAAGCACCAGCCAACTTACTCATTCTTATTCTCCCACTCGCCAGCAAGGCCATTCCTTCATACATGATTTCTGGGGGGTATCTTGCATCCTCAGTGATTATATACTTAGTTATGATTTTATCAGCCAAATATGAAATTCTCAACCTATAATCATTTTTATCTGTTTGGTAAAAGTAGGGAAAATGGTATAATGAGGGCTAAAATGCTCTTCTGGTCCCCAAGCAGTCAATCTGCTTTACATACAATAAATGGTGTGAAATGCACTTGTGTGCACTGAAATTGGAGAAGTACTTTGGTGCCTATCAACCACTGGGGACCTGTTAAAATGTAGATTCTGATCATTTGGTTTGGGAAGCAGGAGTCTGAATTTGTAGACGCTCCCAGGTGCTGTGGGCCCTGAGTGTACACCCTGAAGAGCAGAGAGTTTGGCCTTGGTTGCTCCTCCAGAACGAGACTCTGAAGACCTTGTTCAATTGCATTAATAATTATCTGCTACTAGGGATATGCAAGATAGATTTAAATTGTTGAGGGAGAGGATCTTGCAAACAGTATCTCAATGGCAGAGGCAGACAATAACTTGCAAGAATCTCAAATAACTATCACGAATCTCTTAAGTTACACACTTGATTTTTGCTTTTAGACTTTCCATCCAGGCACTACACAAGTTATCTAAGGAGGCAATAGAGTGAGAGAAAGAAACAGTAATTTCACAACTTCCTGGAAGAAGCTGTCACTGGAGGTGGCTGAACAGTGTTTTTTAAAATACTTAGAGAAGGGACCCAGTTTCACATCCAGAGAGTCACATAGCAGACGTGTTGTTCCTAGGGTTTTGCGTGTGTGTGTCCCAGATTCCAAGAGTCTCTTTAAGGCACATGATACCATTGATTTTATGACACTACTCTCTTCCCAAGCAGCAGTATGTATTATAACCAAATTTAATGATTTCTATTATATTAGCAACGTTTTAGTTTTTCTACAGTATAAATTACATATCTAAATCTGCCAATTCATCTCTATCATCTGATCGAGATGTCAAGATCAGTCTCTCTCTGCTCCTAAATACCACGGAAGAAAAAAAATGTTAGCACAGACACATCCAATGCAGACCTGTAAAAAGAACACAGCCATATTTGGTACTATTCATAAGGACTCCTTGGTGACACTTCTTGGTTGTGTGGTAATCTTCAGCTTTGTGTATGAGGTCACAGCATTAGATGCAGTGGGGACATGTCTTCAGATTGACAAAGGCCCCAAAGTCTCTCTATTAGCAAATGCTTTCCTTTACATGATTCAAGGGAAAAAAAGACCTAAGTGATCTCAATAAGCAGCAGGCACTTGTGTTTATGTGCGCCACTGATGACAGTATAAACAAGCTTCTCTTTTTGTTTCAATCCACAAGTATTTATTGGTTCTGACGTTCGAGATAAGGCACTGCTCAAGGCGCTGTGAGGAGAGAGAGAGAAACAGTCATGGTCCCTGCCCTCATGAAGCTTACAATCTAAAGACAAAAACATTCTCTCACTGCAGCATAACCAGCAATTCCACGTGGTACGTGGAAACTGTGTAGATGTGGTTGTGTCTGCTACAGGATTAAGATGGGGGCTGGATGAGGAGGATCTGGATACGGGCCAAGAGAGAGGAAAGGGCTGTTCCATGTAAAAGCACAGCACAGAATATCACAAGATCAGGAACACTCACAGCCTGAGCAGTGAGACTAGTTACCAGCCTCTGTGAGGGATAAATGGGGCTGAGGTCCAAAGGCTGGTTAGAGTCCACTTTTGAGGCTAAGGACTTTGACCTTTATCTTTTGGCAGCAGAAAGCCAATAAAAGGTATTTGCGATGATGAGTGGCACCATGTAAGTGAATTTTGGAAGACAAAGCTGGCAGAGTTATGTAGAATTTTGAGTGAGGAGGTATTACAAGTATCGAACAGAGCAAATAAGTGAGATAGTGAGACTCTCTCAGCTCAGAGTTTGTGATTCTACAATGAAATACTAGCAGCCATGAAAAAAAAAAAAAGGAGGAGACGAAACTTAGGGAATGACTGCAATGATTCATGGAAAGGGAAAGGAAGAAGTAACAGTTTTTGTTTTTTTTAACAACTAATTGAATACTATTCTTTACTGAATACTAAATCTCTCAAGTAAAACTAAGACTGGGAACAAGGAGGCCAGGTTGCCAGCTATCCAATTCCTATCCTGCCTTGCAGTCCAATTTTCAGGGTAGGGGGAGGTGGTCTTTCTCATCCCTTTAGCTTACTTACTCCCCAGGCAGCAGAACATGTGCCAAATATGTAGACTGGCTCTAGTTTTCCTCAAACTAGTTATTTACTGCAGCAGGCAATTTAAAAGGATGGAGGAGGTTTGAACAATTCTGTACAACTTTGGAATCACAGGCAATACAGGCAATACATTCAGAGTCATTAAGAGGAAGCCATTGTAACTACTCCCTCCTCTTCAGAACCAAGTAAAGATTCTGCATAAAGAGGTCTCTTAGGTTGACTGATCACACCAAACTGTGGGAACCAAGGGCTTAACAGACAATCAGGGAACTACTATTAAATAAATCAAATTCAAAAATCAGCTCTAAGTGCTTATTCCCTATTAGAGATCATTAGCCTAATACATTTGCTCACTTGCTTTTGTCTTTCTCAATCCAATTCCCATTTGTTAGCATAACTTTAGGGATTCCTTATTGCAGAGGAAAAAACATAAAATGGACATTCCAAACAATAAGGACTTGTTACGGGCAGGTCTACTAACTGAAAATAATTATAACTATTTCCAGAACACCTTCATTGTTGTGCTAAAATAACTGGTGTACATTTATGACTAAATGGCCTTTCTCACATCACTAAGACGTTCCACTCCACAAATAAAGAAGACGAGCATATCACAAGTTTACCACCCAAAATCTAATCCTGTGTCTTTGTATCTCACAAGTCAAACAGAGCAAGGAAGAGGACTCACGTGATGTAAAAAAATAAAATAAAACTTCCATATACAGTGATTGGACTCTTAATACAACTATTGGAAAAAATACTTTGGTGAAACACTGACATTTAATGAGCACCAACTGTGAGCCTTTGGGTTTGGAAAGGGGAGACGGGGAGAGGGTGAAAAGGTACCTGAGACTCAGGCCTCATCACAGAGTCATTCAGAATCCATGTTCTCATGTAGAAGGCACACCTCTGTGATCTGTGCACAGATAATAATCAGGTAAGATGTAAGTGTCACAGCAGAATTACCACATGCTATAAAAGTGGCATGCAACAAAGAAGTAACTTCTAATTGAGGTAACAGGAGTCAAACTTACAGAATTTGGGAGAGAGGAATAACATTTCGCTTGAATATTTTAATTTAAACACACTTAAAGCTTCCAGACTCACAGGTACAATTTGTATTATAAACAAGATGCAGTTTTACGTCAGTTATAAATTAACTAAAGGGGCTCAGGTATTACTGGGCCAGCCAGGAGGCCAAAGAGCTCCTAAGGCTCCAGTGGTTTTCTCAGCTCATTTATATGCAAGTGCCAAGGCCTCTTTGGGGAAATTCAGATTGGATCTGGATACAAAACTGTGTAGTCAGTATGCTCCAAATTTTCTGAATATACAAAGAGAAAAATTGAGAAGACAATACCGCCAAAATGTTAATCCTAGGTACCTCTAGGGGTAGGGTTACAGGTGACTTTAAAATTGTGTGCCTGTTTATTTGTATTTCTGTTTATATTGTGAATTTTCTCAATGGACACATAGTATTTATTTTGAAGTCTGTTTTTCTGACTGCATATTTCTTATTATTATATAAATACATCTCCCTGATTGTAAAAGTAACACACACACATGTATACACATTTTTCAAAGACAGGAATATAAAATTATAAAAAAGAAGAAAGCAAAATCCCATGTATTCCCCTCCCAAAGATAGTCCCCACTAACATTTGGGTATATTTCTTTCCAGATGTTTGCTTTATGCATATGGAAGGCATATCTGTTATGTGCATAATCAGAAAACTATATAACTATAGATTAAAAAAGGAAGATCCTTTCCTGCTTCTTTCTCTCTTTTTTTTTTTTTTTTTTTTTTTTGAGACAGTCTTGCTCTGGCAGTCAGGCTGGAGTGCAGTGGTGCAATCTCAGCTCACTGCAAGTTTCCTGGGTTCAAGCAATTCTCCTGCCTCAGCCTCCTGTGTAGCTGAGATTATAGGCATGTGCAACCATGTTTGGCTAATTTTTGAATTTTTAGTAGAGACGGGGTTTCACCAGGTTGGCCAAGCTGGTCTCGAATCCTGCCCGCCTCTGCCTCCCAAAGTGCTGGGATTACAGGCATGAGCCCCCGTGCCCAGCCTCTGCCTCTCTCTTTTAAAATATCTCTGTGACAGTAAGACATCAGTGATCTTTTGACTTTGCCCTTTTATTCATGGAACACAAGCACCATGAAAAAACTCAAATGACTTAGACAATCTGTGGATTGTAATGTTGTGGGGCCCAAGGTCGTGTTTTGGACATTTGGCTAGGACAAGTGGCTGGTACAGTGGCCAATTAAGAGGCACTTTGACGAGGAAAAACATACTTTCTGCAAGATAGATCTCTAGTGACCGGTCCACCGAATGCCTTCACTCTACTCTGTATGTGGCATCTGCTGCTACTTTGCTGATTCATAAATGACACGTCCTGTCTCCTGGGCACACAAGCTGCCACTGGGGGGTGGCTGGGAACCTACACTGCTGGTGTCACGTGATACTAATGGTGTGTGTAGGGGTCTTCCCATCTTAGGTCTGTCTTACACTTCTTCCATAAGACTTTCTATAAAGGCAGAGCAATACCAAAGCAAAGCAAAGGCCCTGCAAAGAGCAGTCAGATGCAGGGGCCGGAGGAGCCGAGGAGCTGAGGTGCCAGGGTGGGGAGAGTAGGAGGACACGCGGCCAAGGCAGCCACATCCTGTTCCTGGACAGCTGCAGAGGCGACGCACTAGGAGGATGGGGAGATGGCTCTGCACCCACTGCCAAGTCAAACACAGGGCACTCCAGGCAGGATGAGGGACTCATCTTCTGCTCGGTGAAAGTAAAATCTCCTGGTGAAGGTCACAGTTTTCAAAAGCAGAGCAAGGCAGAGGCATTGCTGAGTCAGTGGTGAGAGAAGGGAGCGTGGAAACTGGTCCCTTAGTGAGGAAGTGACCTGTGTGAGCCCACACCCACCAAGATGTGAGCTAAATCAGAGGGGTCATGGAAGGACTGTCCCATGCAGACGTGAGCGATCCAGGGCAATACCAGTACACTCTGCTTTTGTTTAAAATGAATTAGGGGCTTGCAGAATGAACCAAATGGACAATAATTACATGAAAAAACCATGTCTTCCCAAGATGCCACCTCAATGGCCATCGAATCTGTGAAGCCGCTGTCTCCTCATTTCTTCTTCTGCTGAGAGACGAAACCCATAGGGTGGTGGGCTATTTCTGGTATTTCCTGTAGTGAGAAGTTCAAAGGAAAAATCAATCATTCTGACATTAGAAGGCATGTGTACTCTAGGATTCCAAGGGAACAAAATGATAGGTTGGGTGTCATCTTTATTTTAACACAAAGCAGAAATATAACAACCATATTTCAACTTCAGTTGTCAGTACTAAATTTCAACATCAAGTAAATGTTTTTAGCGTGGTTCAGCCATGAACCTGATCGGACTCCTTCAGAGGCTTCTGGATAATCCTCCCACTTGTATTTTTCCTTCTACCATGATCCATAATTTGCATCATTCAGGCTTACACGTGTCTCAAGGGCTTAACGGTCTTGTTTTTTTATGCCCATATATAAATTATTGCCACCTCTACTAACCTCCCCACCAACGAGGCTGGTTGGCTTCTCCTGATCAGCCTTTGGGTGCTCCTTTTCTTTCCTTTAATGTGCTACCTCCTGCATGAAGGTGGCCAATCAGAATCATACATGACTGAAAGAAAAAAGCACCCACAGGGCACGTCGGGCCACAGAACTAGAGCAGAGTTATCATACTGATCAATACCTGGGCAGTCAAACAAAAATGCAGGCACCATAGTTCAAGATCATAGGAAGGACTGTGGAAATAGTTACTGAAAAGGGTTTCTTGGTGATGCAAACTTACCAAAATTACAGTTTGTAATGATACAAGAATTTCAGTCACTACATAAGAAAACATTCTCCCAGGCATCATGAGTAGTAATAAAGGGAGAAAAATATATAGTCCTTGATCTCAAGGAACCAGCAACCTAAAGCTAATGAAAGAGCTTCAATATTCCCCATGAGGTTACCAGGAAGATGCATCATTGATAGAAACGGGTAAGCAGAGGTTCACTTCTAAACATGGGGACCAAAAAGGCTGTACCTTTTCACTACTATAGCTCTTCTAACACTGTTAATTTGCCTTGAAAGGCTCTCTCCCATCACCTACATCAACCAGAATTCTTCCTCGTTCTTGTCATGCTAGGCCACCCCTGGTGGAACCAATGGAAGAACTCTCCCAATTCAAACTCTTCAGCTTTCAGCACCTTCCATTTGGTTGTCTTCATTCAACCATCACCATATCCTGCCAGATGGGTACATATTTGGGCACCACTCCTCTCTCTCCTACCAGGATCATAAGCTGTAAAATAGCAGGGAACCTCTCTGACATATCTCCCTCTCCCCAGTGTCTGGGACAGTCCTGAACACACAGGAGCTGTTCAATAAATGTATGGCCTTGACTCAACAGCACCTGCTATGACTTCCAACGCTGCCCAGTGAGGTTCTGACATGACCCACTCGGGGCCAAATGTTCTGGCAGCACTGGCCTGGCTGGGAAGGGAGGGTGGGCAAACCACAGTTAAGCCAAGAGGGAAAACAGGTGAACAAACCGTCAATCCTTCTTGCTCACTGCCCAAGAGTGGCACCTTTTCAGAGATGTGTCCATTTATGCATATGCTGACATGACAACGTTAAAACTATAGTGAAAAGATGTTAGGGAAAGCAATGGGAAACAGAGTCTGTCTTTTCCATCTACACCTGAGGTTTATGTTGTCAAACAGAAATTCAAAAAAGTAGTCAGAGCCAACCCCTTTTTTATATTTTTGCTTCTCTACTGATGAAGATGCCAATGGCTTCCCATAACTGATTCTCCTTTCCCGTTGGAAGGATGGGAGAATTATACCTCCCCAACCCCTTGTACCCTTCCCGACTAGAACACCCCAAAACAAACGAGGCAGGCCTAGCCCCCACACTCACTTCTGCTGGATAAATCCCTGCTTCAAGGCATTTTGATACAGTGAAAAATAGGCCAATTTGTTAACTTTCATTAAAGATGATACTCAAGCATATTATAGGCTTATAAAACTCTTACCATAAAGATTTTATGAATACTGTAAGATTAAAAGTTAAAAACCTGGATACCGTTTTAGCCATATGTATTTGTAAAGGAATTTCTCTTTGTTCAAAATGGTAAATGCTTTGAAATGACCAATTCATCAATCAAATCACCATTAGTTGATTGCTTAAAACTGTTTTATATGATGAGTTCCAAATCCTACTTTGCCTTTAACAGTTGTTTTTAAAAAGACTGGTCTTAATTGTACTTGTGAGTGCAGGCCAGGACCTGACACTTCATTCCAGATGGACCGGGAACTCTCTTAGTACTAGCTAAGGGCAGAGTCAGAAGCAAGCTCGACGTGGCACCCTGACTCAGGGCCATAGGGCAGAAACCCACAGAGACTGAAAGACTGCTCAGACTCCCAGAGGGAAACACAGTGTCCTCTGGTGTTTTCTTTAGCGTTTCTTCAAAAGAAAAACGCGAGGATTAATAATTTCCATGAAGGCAACTGCATGGAGGAATTCGGAGAGGGAGACTGGGAAGGTGCCCAAGGTCCAGCTCTCAAATGAGCAGCCAGCACACATGGCCTTGGACCCATTTGCAGGGCATTCGAGGAGAACCAGGGCTGAGCCGACCGAAGAAATGCCACATGCTGAAGTAGAAAACTGATGTCAGGAGAAGAACAATCATCACACTCCTCTTTATAAAGGCTTTTCAAGGTGCCCTTCTCCACTTAGATGATCCCTTCCCAACAGAATCATCTCAGTTTTACAGATGAGGAAACAGAGGCTCAGAGAGTGTTAGGGACACATCTGAGGGCACTAAGCTAGCATGAAGAAAAGCGAACCTTCTGAGTTTCTTCCCACTTCCCCACATGGCCATCAGTTCTCACACCCAATGTGTTCAGGGTTGCACATCTCACCATCCCCCACCTTCCTGACCAAACAGTGTCCCTTTTCTTCATGGATATGGAAACGTAGGAAGCTCACTGCTATTTGAAAATAGAAAAATAAGAAGGTCCAGTCTAAGTCCTCAATTCTGTGGGACTCTGATGATATCAAAGATGTGACCCAAAAGTTTCCAACGTGGGTTTCCTTAAATTCCACTGGCTACTAGCATGGTTTGGCTTTCCAGGAGAACCAAGAAGGCCTTGGGTATAACAATACAACAACCAAAACCACAATAATGCTTGATTTGTAATCATGCCTTTTTATTTTATTTTTATTTTTTGAGACTGAGTCTCACTCTATCTCCCAGGCTGGAGTACAGTGGCGCAAGCTCTGCTCACTGCAACCTCCGCCTCCTGGTTTCAAGCGATTCTCCTGCATCAGCTTCCTGAGTAGCTGGGATTACAGGTGCATGCCACCATGCCTGGCTAATTTTTGTATTTTTAGTAGAGATGGGGTTTCACCATGTTGGTCAGGGTGGTCTTGAACTCCTGACCTCGTGATCTGACTGCCTTGGCCTCCCAAAGTGGTGGGATTACAGGCATGAGCCACCATGCCCAGCCTCCATGCCTGCTCTTAAGGGTATTTTAATTCCTTCAAACTCAGTGTTTTTGATATAAAAGCCATCTTACTCTCTGGTTTGCTTCCAGCTCTGAAAACTACACTGTTCTGAATATGACTTGATTTGGGGGGAATGTTTTTAAGCATTAAAACTTATTTCAAACAGAGTCACAAACTTGTTATCAGTTAGCCACTAACCCACACAGACTACTGTGTGTGTGTTTTGGGTTGGAGCCACAATCAGGACAAGACTTCCTGGCTGTCCACTCAGTCTCAGGTATGCTCTGTCTTCTACTTCCACACCTTTGCATTCATTTGTCTATTTCTATACTTTCCACTTGTGTCATACGATCTATTACCTCTCTTCTTAATCTCCAGCATCCTCTGCGGGCTTTCTCAAAGGGTCTTATCTTTGCGATTCTGGTAAGTACTTAACATTTGTTAAGCACAGAGGAAAGAATCTGGACAAGCCTCATTGGGGTGGTAGAAGGAGGTGTCCCCACGAGTATAAAGGAAAAACGGTTAGTAGGGAATGAGGAGGTGGCCTCCCACCTCTGCCTGGGGTTCGTGGAGACACCCTACACAAGATGCTTCATTGTAGCAGTCTCCAGTTGACTCATCTGTGAGAGGCGGCTACTGAAAAAGGGGACTTCCAGGGTCCTTTCCATGACTGAAGTTTCACAACCTGTGATAAAATTCCAACTCCTCCACTTTTTAGCTACACATCCTTGAGCAAGTAGGTTACCCTCCTGCTCTTGGTCTTAATTTCCTTATCTGTAAAATGGGAATATTAAGAGTAGCTCCTTTGTTGGGTTGTTGAAGGATTAGAAGAGATAATGCATATGAAATGGTTAGCCGAGTGCCAGGTGACAGTAAATGGCTGCTGAACACTGGATGGTATGATTGTTCTCTCATCATCATCAAGAATCACGTGCCAGCTGGGTGCAGTGACATGTGCCTGTAATCTCAGCTACTTGGGAGGCTGAGGTGGGAGGATCGCTTGAGCCCAGGAGTTCTGGGCTGTAGTGCCTATGCTGATCAGGTGTCCACACTAAGTTCGGCATCAATATGGTGACCTCCCGGGAGCAGGGGACTACCATGATGCCTAAGGAGGGGTGAACCGGCCCAGGTCAGAAATGGAGCAGGTCAAAACTCCCGTGCTGATCAGCAGTGGGATCACGCCTGTGAATAGCCACTGCGCTCCAGCCTGGGCAACATAGTAAGACCCCGTCTCAAAAAAAAAAAAAAAAAAAAAAAAAGAATCACGTGCTAAATGTCTACTTGTTCCTGTCATTAACTAACTCTATAAGAGATACACAAAATTTCAAAAACAGTGACTTCTTAAAATACAGAGCTCAATTCTGTTTGCAAACCCTTTGGCAGTGCTTTGTACAAAGTGTTGATTTGCTAGTAACTAAATATCTGTCTTCTAAGAAATAGATATAAAAAAGGTAACTAATGACCTTCATTAAGCAGCAGGCTTTGGTCACATGAAGGAACCTTTGGGTGACTGACAGAGCTGGAGCGCCCAGCCAAGATCTTCTTTCTCTGCTTAGTTAAATCATGCATTGGACATTTACAGGTCTGGGTGAAACGGCCCTGCTCTGAAGAACTTGGTACAAAATATGAGTATTTATGAGTCTTGC